ATCAAAAAAATGGGATCATACCTATATTTCAATTGGATTAAAAGCATCAAGCTCAGGCCAAGGCTGTTTGTTTGTTTGTTTGTTTTTTGGGTCCGGTTGTGGGGCCTGAACTCTGGGCCTGGGTGCTGTCCTTCAGCTCTTCAGCTCAAGGCTAGCGCTCTACCACTTGAGCCACAGCGCCACTTCCGGCTCTTTTCTTTTTTTTGCTTATGTGGTGCTGAGGAATCGAACCCAGGGCCTCATGCATGCAAGGCAAGCACTCTACCACTGAGCCACCTTCCCAGCCCCCAAGGCTGTTTGAAGATATTATGAGCTATTCTTCTCCCATCAAAGGACACTTTCAGACCTGTAAGAAATAATATAGTATTATTGGATACATTCTTGGTATATATTGAAGCACACTAACAGCTCAGGTGAGACATTGGGTAGGAGGCACACAAGAAGGCCTGATCACGGGGCTGGGAAGGTGGCTCAGTGGTAGAGCACTTGCCTTGCATGCTCAAGGCCCTGGGTTCGATTCCCCAGCACCACATAAGAAAAACGCCGGAAGTGGCACTGTGGCTCAAGTGGTAGAGTGCTAGCCTTAAGCTGAAGAGCTGAGGGACAGCGCCCAGGCCCAGAGTTCACCCCACGACGGGACCCAAAAAAAAAAAAAAAAAAGAAGGCCTGATCAGCAAAGTTACTATATTTCCTCTGTATTTAAGGAGGAGAGACTGAGGCAACCTATTTTTTTTAACCCTGTTGCCTATATCCTTTTTCTGTAGCTATCTCAAAATATCTAAGGCTGGATACTTTATAAAGGAAAGAGATTTATTTAACTCATAGTTCTGGTGCTAGCATTAGCTTAGGTTTGATGAGAGCTTCATAGTGAATGGTCTCAAATGGTAGGAATGTGTACCAAAGAAAAGACAACATGGCAACATAAAGAAGCAACAGACCAGGAGCCGGGCGCCAGTGGCTCATGCCTGTAATCCTAGCTACTCAGGAGGCTGAGATCTGAGGATGAAAGTCTGTGAGACTCTTATCTCCAATAATCACTAGAAAACTGGAAGTGGCGCTGTGGCTCAAACCATAGAGCGCTCGCCTTGAGCTGAAGAGTGCAGGGACAGCGCCCAAGCCCAGAGTTCAAGCCCCACGACTGACCAAAAAACAAAAACAAAGAAGCAACAGACCAGGAGGGCCGGGCTGTTTTTAATAACCATTTGTTCTTTCAGAAATGAATTCTTTCCTACTACAACTGGCTCCCCTCCTATTGGACAGCAGTAATACTATCATGAAGATGGAATCACCATAACCCAATTCTCCTTCTCTAGGCCCTAAAGCTTCACCATCTCAATACTGTTACAGTGAAACCCACCCATCTAGTGCTTTTGAGAGACAAATTACATCCAAATCTCAGAAGCTGGTTCTGTGAAGGGCCTGATGATATTTTGAAGGTGTCCTGATCTAGAGTTACTGGAAAGGGCTATGTAGGTCTATAGCACTCTCCCCTCAATAAAAAAAATCAGACAAGCTGAGTTTTGATGTGTTCTATATATTGTTTTTTTGCCTCTACTTGAAAGATTTGCTGCTTTAAAAATAAAGAGAGTAGCTGTGCACAGTGTCCCATGCCTATAATCCTAGATATTCAGGAGGCTGAAATCAGAAAAATTATGATTCGGAGCCAGCCTAGGCAAAAAGGTTCACAAGATCATCCTCAACCAGTAGCTGGGCTTGGTGGTACATACTTGTCATCTCCACTGCTGGGGAATCTGAGATTAGGAGGATTGCAACCAGGCCAGCCAGTGCAGAAAAGTTCACAAGACTATTTCAATTAAAACAGTTGGGTGTGATGGTACTTGGCTGTCAATCCAGGTACAATGCAAAGTAGAAAGTAGGAGGACTGTGGCCTAGGCCTGGTCCTAGGGAGAAAGTGACCCTTGTCTTGAACTAACCAGTATGAAAAGAGTTAGAGTTACAGGCTCAGTCATGCTTAGAAAGCATGAGACCCTAGTTCAAATCCCAGCACCACAAAAGTTAAATTGATTTTTAAGAGAAAGCAAATGGAGAGAGAGACAAAGACAGAGACACAGAGAAAATGAGAGAGTGGGATTGAAACCCACTGGGGTTTATCTTGAATACACGTCTGCAAGTGTTATGGTTTCTCAGGAGGAGCCATCTCCAGGCTGAATCCTGCACATTAATCATAGCCGCAGCAAACTCAGTTGCTGTTTTCCTTACTCACACCAGGAATTCATCTACTCCTGGCTTCTGACCCATGGTCCTGGCAACACTCGTCATGGCTGCTTTGTGACTGAGCCACATGGTGGAAAGTGAGCAGAGCTCAGTTTTGCTGGATCCATTGCATCAACCCCTGGCTGACCTCCTGCAATGTACATCCCACGTATGGGGGAGAAACTCTGGAGCCCAAGGAGAAGCAGGTTAAACTTCTGGCCTGTCCATTATTTGGGAAGCTCTGCTCAGCCAGCATAGCTGAGATGAAAAGAGCATCAGGAAGGAGAAATCAGCAGTTTCTCAAGGGAGGGGCCAGAGGATGCCACAGCCATCGGGCTTGGAAGCCCGGTCACCTTACCACTCCATGCTCTGAAAAGACCTTTGGAAACTGTGTGTCACGTTAAAGGTGCAATACTTGCCTTGAAACATTTTTTAATCTTTATAATCACACATTTTAACTCACTTTAGAATTTCTAATATTTTCCAAAACTCATAATGGAATAAAACCAGGTGAGGAACAAGGACAACCAGAAACAATTACTCATAGAAAAATAGAAGACAGGAACAACGGAAATTAGTGGCATTTGTAAGCTTAATCAGCAATGTATTCTGGCAATGCAAAAATCTAGTCAGTGAAGGCAAATCGAACCCAAGTAAGACCCTTGCCTCCTGACCAGCCTCCTCCACCCACACCTTGGGCTTTTTGTCCAGCTAGGGCAGCAAGCAGATGCATCAGTTCCTACTGGCTTCAATCCTGTCTGGCCAGTTCGGCACTCAGTATTTCCCAAGTCTCAGGCCTCCAAAGATCACACGTGGCATTACTTTGCCTATCTCTGCCTATCAGTGGATCTTGTACTTGCCTAGGTTGCACCTTGGTCCCCAGGTGCTGCTGCTGATACAAGGTACCAACCTGCGGATTCTCAGATTCTGTGTCTGCGGCTACTCTTTGTCTGCTTCCTGGTTTTGGTTTTTTTGTTTTTGTTTTTAATGGGTCTAAGTCCTGGCCCAGAGTCATCACACTACCAGTGGCCCCCCCCAATCTACTCCTGCCACTTCCCCTTCTACTATCCATTCATCTGTCACTATATAATGCTAGAATTGTAGACTTATTTTGAAACTTTTCAAGCCTAAAACCAAAGGCGAGAAAATGGTACAATGTCTACTTCCATATTTCACTTAGATTTACTAATTGTTAGCTTTTGCCACACTTTTTTTTTTTTTGGGTCCGGTCGTGGGGCCTGAACTCTGGGCCTGGGTGCTGTCCCTCGGCTCTTCAGCTCAGGGCTAGCGCTCTACCACTTGAGCCACAGCACCACTTCCGGCTTTTTTTTCTTTTTGCTTATGTGGTGCTGAGGAATCGAACCCAGGGCCTCAGGCATGCAAGGCAAGCGCTCTACCACTGAGCCACCTTCCCAGCCTGCTTTTTTCTTGTTCTGCACGTGCGCATGCACACACACACACACACACATACACACACAATTATAATGTGTCCTTTACTGTTATACATTTTCAATCCTAAACCAACCAAGGCTCATACATTGCATTTAACTGCATATGTCCTTAGTTGTCCTTAATCTAGACCAGCTCCATTGCTTTGAAAAAAACTTTTTGATATTGACTCTTTTAGTGGTGTTTTATGGTTGGGTCTCATAATGTAGTTCCGATAGCCCTGAACTTTTGATCCTTCTGCCTTAGACTCCTGAATGCTAGGATTGCAAGTGTATTTCACCATGCCGATCTCAATTTACCTGGGCAGTTTTGAAGAGTCCAGATGAACTGTGAAATACCCACAATGGAATGTCTATCTCCTTGCAATTAGATTCAGTTAAGCATTTCGGAGAAGTACTCTATTGGTATGACTGCATCAGGGGCAGACTTTGCTGAGTATCTACTTCCCTTCCTCTGTCCAGCACCACATGCTAACTGCTTCCACCATCCTTCCTCCCTAACAAAAGGCAAGATACAAAGGGTGGCAAAGGACTTGTACTTGACAGAACTGGGCTCCCAGATCATCTGGCAGAGCTACTGCCAACAGATACTACTCTTAATGATTCAGTTAGACTGGATGATTCTCACTGGACTCCACAGGTGAGCACTTAGATATACTGGGCTCTTGAAACTCACTGCCCAGTGGTGGTTTGGCTGAGGTCAACCTAAATAGACATGAATAAGACAGGGATTGCACAGAAGTAATGTCTCAGGGGCTCTTGTAGGCCAAAGGTTCTTATGTCTAACCTTTTCTATGTAGACAGAACTTCTAAACTCAAGTGGAAACTCCAAGCAAAGGGTGTTATTGGGATTCAGAAACAGGAAGGAAGAGAAACCAAGACTGCAAGTCTGGTTGAGGACAGGGATTTGGCAGACATTCATACTCTGTTTCAGCAAGGAAGTCAAGTTCTTCCTTGAAAAGGAAGTATGGGTGCAATTCAAAACGCTGTTGTCAAAACCCAAGTCCAGAAGTCCTCCAGGGTCAGGAGATAGTAGGCCAGGAGTTCCTCTGGGGCAGGAAGCCCTTCCTGCTGTCTGTGCATCTCTAAGCCTGAGCCACATGACTCATGATTGAAGTGGAACACACTCTATCCTTGCTTTGGAATGAATGGATAAATCATTGATTTTTAAAAAGCCAGGTACCCTATCTAAGAGTCGTATTTGATAGATAGGAAGCAAGAGTCACTATCTGTATATATTTAACAGGAAGAGACAACAAAATATGACTTTCGTTTTTGTTTTGTTGGTTCTTTGTTTTTGTTGTTTCAACAGGTTTTACAACAGAGCCCAGACCGGTCTTGAATTCATGATCTTTTTGTCACAGCCTTCCAATTGCTGATTGCAGGTATATATCACCATACCTGACTACAATGTAGCATTTGAGAAGTATAAATTAAGAATAACTCAACTGAGGAACATTAAAAGTTATTATAGTTCAGCCTCAACCCACTGACACCAGACTTTTCTTTTCATGGTGAATTTACCAGTGTCCTGGTTTTGTGTATGCAGTGACCCTTTGTTTAGTCACAGTGTAGCCAGGAATCTGCCTGCTTCATCAGTTACATGTTTGGCCTCAAATAGCGGAGATGAGGCTACAGGGATAGCCTTTTACCTTCAGCTGCATGATTGTACATGGTAGAAACAGGGGAAGACACGGACATACACTTATACAGTATCCAGTCCAGGCCTCTCAAAAGCCAGAGAGCAGATCCACGACTCACTTTTTAATATTATAAAGGCTATAAAAGTCCCAGAGTAAAAATCTACCCAGTTACAAATACAAATTGTATGGAAAGAAAGCCAAGATGCTCCTAATGGCACAGTTTAAGCATCAAGGTTTGGCACAATCTTTAGGAGGAAAGTTGGGTTGAATAATAAAGCTATAGACTGACTGCATTCACATTTGGGGAGCTGGAAGCTTCCAGAAAGATCTATTAGACGGACGAAGTGGCTCTGGAAGATCTCTTGCTGGTTATAAGCACCCTGCAGGGACAACATAAAAAAAGCTTGTCAGGTGATTCAGAAGAAAAGTATTTTTAAGTGAAGAGTGCAATCGGATTACCATCTCCACATTTAGAGATGAATAAAAAAGGCACAAAGAAAGGAAGTGGGCTGTACTGGGCCTCTCGTTAACTATAGTCCAGCTCTGCTTCCTTATATAGGTTTCTTTTGCACACATGCTCTTCGTTTAGGTTTCTAAAACCGATGGTTTTATTTATAGGTAAGCAAACCCCAATTTTTCTAAATTCTCACTAACGATGATGCTGGCCAGACTTTAATTTGTGTGATTTGCAGCCCCTCCTTTCTCCCTTCCTGTCTGAGTCCCTTGAAAAAACATGTGACCTCTTTACCTTCAGCTCATCAGGTCTGTAAAAACTTTTTTTTTTTAAATTTTATTCCTCACCTCCCATTTTCCCCCTCTTTTTTTTTTTTTCTTTTTTTTGCCAGCGTGTCAGCACATCTGAGCCCTCTTGATCCCTCTTGGCTGCATGGGCTCTGGTCCAGTTCTGTCCTTTTCCTGCTGTCAGCCTAGCTGGATTGCATCCCAGTAACAGTTCTGTTGCTAATGAACTGGCCAAGAGAACAAAACACTGCAGCTCTCCTGGAACTATTTTGTCATCCATGGTGGGTGCACATAAAACCTTGAGCTTTGGAAAAGAACTAGTATCACTGGTGTCTGCTTACTTATTGTAGGGTATCAGGACCCCTATTTCCCTTATGCCTCGAATGTCCCATTACAGAACTCATACAAATGACAACAAGTTAAAGGAAAACTCCACCCTTGTAGCATTTCCTCAACTTATTTCCCACTCCAGGACTGGCTGGCAGGACCAAGGAGGGAAAATTCTTGTATTTATAGCTGAGTGGATAGTGGAGCCAGGCTTGGCAGCTGCCAAGGGCTCTGCAAATCTTGGAACAGTGGGACTGAAAGAGCCCTTAAGGAGGAGTAAGGCCAACATTCACCTCGAAAGATTAGGAAGCCAGAACCAGAGAGGTTGTTTGGTGTTTTGGGGTAAATTGTGTCTTTCCGATGTTTAGATATTAAGATCCTAATATGGATTATTCTTCGATACCACAGAATGTGGCCTTATTTGGAGATGGAGTCTCTATAGAGGTAATTAAGTTAAAAGGAGGTCATTGACAGCCTGGCATGGGTGGCTCACACCTGTAATCCTAGCTACTTAGGAAGCTGAGATCTGAGAATCATAGTTTGAAGCCAGACCAGGCAGGAAAGTCCATAAGCCTCTTATCTCCAATTAATTACCAAAAAGCCCAAAGTGGAGCTATGGCTCAAGTGGTATAGTACTTAGCCTTAAGTGGAAAATATAAGGGGCAGTGTCCAGGCCCTGAGTTCAAGGCTAGGACTGGCGCGCGCGCGCGCGCACACACACACACACACACACACACACACACAGGTCATTGAGATGAGCTATAATTTAGTAATATTAGAGTCCTGAACAGAAGAGAAACTTGGGAACTCAGGGCCATGCATATAGAAAGAACATTGGACTATCTACAAGCCATAGAGTGAATGGGTCTTTTTCACAGCCTTCAGAAGGAAGCAAGCCTTGACTACAAGAACCATGAGACAATACTATTTAAGGCACTCAGTTCCTGGTGCTCTGTGACAACAGCTATAGTAATAGCCAAAGCTGGAATCTTAGTTCTACAGTGGCCAAGTGAGTGGGGTGTCCCAGAAATACACTGTGAAATTACAGAAAATAAGACTGCTTTTTGTGTGTCTGGGTGTGTCGATTGCGGGGCTTGAGCTCAGGGCCAGGGCACTGTCCCTGAGCCTCTGTGCTCAAGGCTAGGGCTCTACCACTTGACCCACAATGTCGCTTCCAGTTTTTGAGTGGTTAATTGGAAATAAGAGTCTCAAGGGAATTTTCTGCTGGGTCTGGCTTTGAACCAAGATCCTTAGATCTCAGCCTCCTTAGTAGCTAGGATTACAAGTGTGAGTTACTGGTGCCGGGCTATGACCGCTTTTTTTTTTTTTTTTTTGGGGTCCGGTCGTGGGGCCTGAACTCTGGGCCCGGGCGCTGTCCCTCAGCTCTTCAGCTCAAGGCTAGCACTCTACCACTTGAGCCACAGTGCCACTTCTGGCTTTTTCTTTTTGCTTATGTGGTGCTGAGGAATTGAACCCAGGGCCTCAGGCATGCAAGGCAAGCGCTCTACCACTGAGCCACCTTCCCAGCCCCTATGACTGCTTTTTAAGAGGGATAATTTGCCTAAGAATTTGGATGGTGAGGTATCAGTCTTCCATGCTGGTACCTGTGAATATAAACAGAGGCAAGATGATGCACCTAATCCCATCTAATCAAGTTTTGAAAACAACCCTATTGAGCTCATTTGACAGGGCCTAGGAAATAGGCATTTTCTTTTTACATTATTGACGTCATCATTAATTGTTATGGTCAATTCCTTAAAAAAATTACCTGGGCCTTTTATTCTTTCAGTATCTGAGAATATTATTAGCTTAGCCATCTAAACTTCTGTTCCTTATTTCTTATATAAACTGCGCTCCTTGTTTGTTAACAGTGACACTGATTTGGTTTTATTTTTTTATTTTTGGCAGGGTTTGAACTAGGGGCCTCTTGCTCCCTTGGCTTGCTTGGTTAGCTAGTACTCTACCACTTGATCCATGCCTCTAGCCCTGCTTTTTGCTGGTTAAAGATGGAGTCTTGTTGACTTTTCTGCCAAGGTTGTCTTCAAACCTTGGCTTTCCCATCTCAGCCTCCTGAGTAGCTGGGATTACGGATGTGAGCCACCTGTGAGTGTCTCTGATTTTTATTAAGTTAAATTCATGAATCGACTTGAATTTCATTTTTATTCAAACAATGGCAGTTATAGAGGAATATACTTTAGGAAAAGAGTGGCATGGATACTTTGCAGAAACTCTTTTGAGTAGAGTAAGATTCTGACCTCAAGGGAGTTAAAACATACCACCAACAAGGACAGCCTTTCCTTTTAAGGAAGGCTTTCTTCTAAAGTGAGACTCTTCAGGGTTGGGCATTAGAAAGTCAGGTGACTTGACAGAACTTGAGCAGTTCTGCCCTCTCTCATGTCTATATGTTGGAGGAGGGGTAAGCACAAGAAAGTATTTTTTTTTATTTTTTTATTGTGAAAATACTGTACAGAGGGGTTACAATTACATGAGCAAGATAATGAGTACATTTCTTATCAAGCATTGTAGCCTCCTCCTTTGTTTCCCCTTCCCATCCCTTCCCATCCTCCCCCCCCCCCCCCCCCCCCCCCCCCCCGGCCCACAAGAAAGTATTTTAACTCCCTGGCACAAGCTTAGGAATTTTATGGAGGAATCCTACTGGACAGGTGAAGAGCCGGAACAGGCACTGGATACCAGGATAAGGATTAGCCAACTGGTCCTAGGAGATTGTTCCATGAGAAGTCTTATGTTTCTGTTATGGCCTCACAGAAGTCAGGTTGGAGGATGTTGCCAGAGGCTGGTCATGCCCTGGCTTTACAATGTACAGCTTGTATAATTCCCTGTGCCACAGAGGGTGTTCCATGTGGGCGTATGACTAGTAGCTCCCAAGTTTGGTTTTTCATGACCTCTGTCACAAAAGAGGGACACTGAAAAGTAGCTTTTGCTAAATCAGAATATTAATGAAACCATGCCTTCTTACTTGATATGCATGTATAAAAATAGAACAATGAAATCTATTGAAATTGTTTTAAGAGAAGGAGGAGGCATTTCAGAGTGGGTGAATTTAGAGAAGGGGAGTACTTGGGTTTGAACTCATCGATTTGTATTTACTGAATCTGCAACTTGAGACATGCCCCAGTCCTTTTTCACTCTGGCTAGTTTTTTGTTGCTGTTGTTGTTTTGTTGGGGCCTGAACACTGGGCCTGGGCGCTGTCCCTCAGCTCTTCAGCTAAAGGCTAGCACTCTATCACTTGAGCCACAGTGCCACTTCCAGCTTTTCTGCTTATGAGGTGCTGAGGAATTGAACCCAAGGCCTCATGCATGCAAGGCAAGCACTCTACCACTGAGTCACCTTCCCAGCCCCACTCTCTGGCTAGTTTTGAAATGGAGTTTTCATTTTTGCCTGGGATCAGCTGGACTATGTGCTGAGGGAGTGAATTTGGAGTGAATTTGATTGGGGTACATCATATTCATGTATGAAGTAATACGATGTTGCCCCTTTGTAAAACTGACATATGCAAAAGCAGAATCAATTAACATTTCTTTCAACTGTGACTCTTTTAATATTGTTTTGAATTTTAAAAACCTAAGAATGACACAATTTCTATCAAATGGCATTTGAAAATCTCCAAGTTACTTTTTTGTCAAAAGGAGGATACACACACACACACACACACACACACACACACACACACACACACACACACACACACACACACACATTTCAGTACTGGGGATTGAATCCCTTGAACCACTTGAACTACTTGAACTACTTTTTGTTTTTCAGACTGACTTTCCAAGAACTGTCTTTGAACTGTGCTCCTGTAGTCCCCACCTCCCAAGTAGCTGGCTTGTCTGTGCCACCATGCCTTATTCCCTGTTTTTTTTTTTTTAAAATAAATATAATTTTATTGTTTTTTTTTTGGGTATTGTTATTATTTTTAAAACTATAATCTTATTGATATTATTAGGGTATGAGACAGAGGGTTATTGTTCACAATGCAGGTAATGTGTGTATTTCTCTTTTGGAAAATGTCACCCCTTCCTTCACTTTCCCCAGTTTTCCCTTCCTGTCCCTGCCCACATAGTTGCATAGTTTCATAGTTCATTTCCCACATAGTGTATACTGAATACCATGATTGCATTTGTTCATGCTTCCTCCCTCCCTTTCTGCATCCCTTTTTTGCCCCCTTGAAGCAGAAAAAGAAAAAAAAACTAAACAATCCACACAGACAACAACAACAACAACATAAATAACCCATGTTTCATTTCCTGGTATTCATTTCAATAAATAGTATTTTACACGTTAGGAGAGTTATGTCTTTGGTCTGGTATGCTCCTTTCATCTGGTTGTGTTCAAATATCATGTAGCTTCCACACATGAAAGGATCTAGCTTCCACATATGAAAGGATACATGTACTATTTGTCTCTTGGAACTGGGCTTACCTCACTAAACATGATTTGTTCTAGGTTTATCCATTTCCCTGTAAATGACACAATCTTATTCTTTTCTAATGGAAAAGTAAAATTCCATTGTGTATCTATATCCAAATTTTTGATCCACTAGTCTACTCTATGCTCATCTGATAACATTATCCTATATGTATAATAATTATTGCAAATGAGGGAAAACCATGGGATCTAAATTTCTTTGGGATTGGCTTACTTCACTTAATATGTTTTTTTTTTTTCTAAGTCTTTCTATTTCCTAACAAATGGGGCAGAGTGATTCTTTCTGATGGAAGCGGAGAATTCATATCACATTACTTGATCCATTCATCTATTGAGGGGCATCTGGGTTGGATCCATATCTTAGCTATGGTGGATAATGCTGCGATAAACATAGTTGTGCTGGTAGCTTTAGTATAGCCTTGTTCATGATCATTTGGGTAAATGCCCAGAAGTAGGATTGCTGGGTTGTAGGGTAGCTCTATGTGGAGTCTTTTGAGGAACCTCCATACTTCTTTCCAGAGTGGTTGAACAAGTTTACACTCCCACCAATAACGCAGTAGGGTTCCCTTTTGGCCACATCCCCTCAAGCATCTGTTGTTATTAGAGTTCTTGATTATAGCCATTCTAACTGGGGTGAGGTGGAAGGGCCTATTTTTTTTTGAAAAACATTTTTTTATTGTCAAGATGATGCACAGAGGGGTTATAGTTACATAAGTAAGGTAATAAGTACATTTCTTATCAAGCTTGTTACCCCTTTCCTCATTTTTTCGGCCTGTTTTGTACCCATACAAACTGCTTTTGTGATTATAGCTCTGTAGTAGAGCTTGAGGTTTGGGATGGTGACACTAGCAGCATTGTTATTGTTGTTTCCCCTAGAATTACTTCAGCTATTTGTGGTCTTTTGTTATTCCATATAAATTTTTGGATTATTTTCTCTATCTCAGTGAAGAAGGTCATTGGGATTTTGATGGAAATTTCATTAAATTTGTAGCTCACCTTTGGCAGTATGGCCATTTTCATGATATTCTACCCATCCGTGAACTTGGGAGTTCTTTGCGGTTTCTGATGTCATCTTTGATTTCTTTCTTCAGATTTTAATAGTTCTCATGGAAGAGGTCTTTTGCTTCTTTGGTTAGGTTTATTCCTATTTTTTTGAGGCTATTGCAAATGGAATTTTTCTGATTTCCCTCTCTGCTTATACACTGCTGATATACAGGCTACTGATTTTTGTGGGTTGATTTTGTATCCTGCTACTTTACCAAAGCTATTGCTTAATCTCTCTTAATAACATAATTAGCACTATTTTCCTCTGCTGTTACCACAAGGACAATTAAATTTCAACATAGGTTTGGATGGGGACAAACCACATCCAAACCATAGCAGTATGAAAAAGAATCTACTCAAAACTCTGGAATTTCAAACTCCTCTGCTCATACCCAATGTTCTCCTTTCATATTGAGAAAAAAGTTTGACTCCTAGCTCATATAATCCATAATAGTAAATTACAGATAGATAATGTGAAATACCTTATTTTTCTGTCTTGGTGCTGGGCATAGAACCCAGTGAGTTCACATGCTGAGTTCACAGAAGATTTATATATGCTAAGCCCACATTCTTCCACTGATCCATATTCCTAGTCCCAGATCTCAGTTATAATATCATAGGAAGATAATTTCCACTGAAATTTTAACCTCACTGCTTATGTCTATCCTGAAATACTCAAACACTGGACTAAATCCATGTACAAAGTGATTTATCAAAGAAATGTTTGGAGTTGTGGAAAACTGGAGATAAAATATTCCTCAAAAACAAATAAATTAAGATTCATCCTTATAGAATGTTAAGACAGTTTTTTTTTTTTTTAAATAATAGAGTTGGTGGCTCATGCCTGTAATCTTAGCTACTCAGGAGGCTAAGATCTGGGGATCATTGTTTGAAGTTACCCCAGACAGGAAGTCTGTGAGTCTATTATCTCTAATAAACTGCTCAGTAGTAGAGTGCTAGTCTTGAGAAAAAGAATCTCAGGGATAGCACCTAGGCTCTGAGTTCAAGGCCCAGCACCAAAAAACCCCCCCAAAAAACAAAAAAACACAACAACAACCAAAAACATCCGAACAAACAAATAGTAGGGTAATACAGGTCAGGTAACAATGGCATATGCTTGTCAACCCAGTGACCAAAGGAAGCACAGATAGGAGGATTACAGTTCAAGCTGGCTCAGGCAGAGAGTGGCACAGGTGGAAACTTTCTTAATAACCCAGAAACACAAGAAATCAAAGAAAGGTTGGACAAACGGGATTGCGTGAAACTGCAGAGCTTCAGCATGGCAAAGGACATAGCTATCAAGATCAATAGAAAGCCCACAGACTGGGAAATCTTCACTAGCCATACAATAGACAAGGGTCTTATATCTAAAATACACTTAGAGCTCAAAAATGTATTCCCCCAAAAACAAATCCTCAAAGAAATAACCACCTCATTAACAAATGGGCTAAAGACTTAAAGAGAAACTTCTCTGAAGAGGAAATAAGAATGGCCAATAGAGGCTGGGAAGGTGGCTCAGTGGTAGAGCGCTTGCCTTGCATGCCTGAAGCCCTGGGTTCAATTCCTCAGCACCACATAAGCAAAAAGAAAAAGCCGGAAGTGGCGCTGTGGCTCAAGTGGTAGAGCGCTAGCCTTGAGCTGAAGAGCTGAGGGACAGCACCCAGGCCCAGAGTTCAGGCCCACGACCGGACACCCCCCCCCCAAAAAAAAAAGAATGGCCAATAGATACATGAAGAAATGCTCAACATCTCTGGCCATAGAAGAAATGCAAATTAAAACAACAATGAGACTTGCCTTACCCCAGTTAGAATGGCTATAATCAAGAAATCTAGTAACAACAGATGCTGGCAAAGATGTGGCCAAAAGGGAATGCTACTACACTGTTGGTGGGAGTGTAAACTTGTTCAGCCACTTTGGAAAGCACTATGGAGGTTCCTCAAAAGACTTCACATAGAGTTCCCCTATGATCCAGCAATTCTATTCCTGGGCATTTACCCAAATGACCACAAACAAGACCATACTAAACCTACCAGTACAACCATGTTCACGGCAGCATTATTTACCACATCTGTTATGGAACCAACCCAGATGCCCCTCAATAGATGAATGGATCATGGATCAAGAAGACGTGGTTTTAATACACAATGGAATTCTATGCTTTCATCAGAAAGAATGATACTGCCCAATTTGTGAGGAAAGACGGAAAAAATCATACTGAGCAAAGTAAGCCTGGTCCCAAGAAAAGTAGGTTGCATGTTTTCCCTCATTTGTAATAAGTAGAATTGTTTAGGATATTCTTAACAGGTGATCACAATAGCTCAACTGCTAAATGTATAGGACCATATATAATGAAGCATATCAAAATGAACTCTAAGAACTGGAAACAAGAGCTTCTTATTATGTCACGTATGCAGTTATTGCTAATTTTTTTCTGATTTAGCCTTCTGTACCCTTTGTCTTGTATATAAGCTTATCTGATACATGGAAGGGAAAGGGAATCACATAAACAGCAGGACAAAGGATGAACTAATGCAACACAATGATAATCACTAGACACTATGTTGGAAATGAACTATACAACTTGCAGGGGGAGGGGAGTATGGAAGGGTAAACAGGAGAAAATGAGGAAGGAGGTAACAGTGTTTAAAAAGAAATGTATTCACTACCTTACTTAAGTAACTGTAACCCTCCTATTCACCACCTTTACAATAGATACATATTTTTAAAAACTTCTGGTAGGATGGCTCAAGTGATAGAGCACCTTCCTATCTAGTGTGAAGCCCTGAGTTCAACTATCAGTACCTCCAGAAAATATAACAACATTGGTGAACTTCATATTATACAGCACAGAAATATCTCTATGCATGTCATAATTTATTTGAATTCAGCTTTTCATTTGTAAAAACTACAAGTTGGACTAAAAAGCTCTTAAGATTTGGCTGAGGGTGGAGTTCACTGATAAAACTCTTGTGTAGCATGCACAAGGTTCTGGGTTCAATCTTCAGCAATGTAAAAATAAATCAAGACATAAAGACAACTTTAAGATTATTTTTAATCTCTTTCTATGGAAAGAAAAGCATAGCATAACACTCAAGAATTTTAAATAGCTCACTAAGAAAAAAATACTGGAATGCCTGGGTGTCAAAAATATTCTCCAAAGAATCCCTAAGCCCTATCTATAAGACCAGTATCAGAGGATGCTCCTCTTAACTCAGTGACTGCTGCCAATTAGAAAGGTTTCCAAACTTGCATATGTCAAAAAAAAATTCCTAGGGACTGATGAAATGGAAAGGATTTCATGTTTAAACAAAGATAACCTGAGATAGAGGAAGTTTTATTTCCATTTTTACTAATTTTCTATAACCACCTGAGAATGTAATAGTTCCGTGTTGGGATTATAGGAAACTTACTTGCCCAGCTTCCCCATGAGGGAAGCGGGTATGGAGCATTTGACTCATCTTTCAGGATTACTTTGAAGAAAGAGGACATTCAAAAAGTCATCTGAAAACAGAACACACCAATCCCAAAGGGAGGCTAGCAATACATTACCCACTGATAACACGAAATCCTGGATGTACTCTGGACAGTCATTTCAATTCTTTCTTACAGTCAGAAAGGCCTCTGAAGCTCATTTGAATCTGGAATTATTTCATATGTTGGGCTGGAAATTACAAAGGAAAATTTCAGAAAATTTCAAAGGACACTTTTAACTGCCCTTCATTAGACATAAACTCAGCAACTTACTTCTTAAGATTAGGTTGAATTTAGCACTGGTTGAGTCAAAATCTGCTTCTATCTCTGAGCAGTTCTTGCTGTTGTCAATGTAGCTCTGTGTGGACAGGAGAAGAGAATATGGCCCATTGTCTTACCAGATGCTAATTATGGTCTGGATTCAACAAAAACCATCTGTCCTCCACGAAGGGAAAGTAACAAGAGACACTGAGGCCAGGCTGAGCTTTTTGTGACGGGGCACACTTTTTTTTTTTTTTTTTTTAACTGAGGCTCACATTGTAGTTTGTGATTAGCAAGCAAAAACCAAACCAAAACAAAACAACAATTACGAAAGCTGACATGGTTTGTAGATTTTCTCTGCTAATGATAAAATCGCTAGCCAAATCTCAGAATGGAGCAGGGCAACTTGAGCCTGTATAGTTCCAGCTGCTCAGAAAGTTGAGGCAGGAGCATCTCCTGAGCTTAGGAGTTGGCAGCCAGTTTGGGCAACATAGGAAGACCCTGTCTGTCACAGAGTCTTCTTTAGAAAGAGGGAACAGACTTTGAAACAGCAAATTTTTGTTTACATTATGTATTTACACATGACACAATTGATGCTTCATTATTCTTTTTGTACCTCTGGGAAACATACAATAAAAGCAGTATCCAAGAACGCAAGCAATTTTATCATTTATAACCACTGATAATTTGATTGAAAGCATGAATGACTGAGATAGTATTGATGAACATGTAGAATAAACATTCAATATTAGGTTTCTACTTACTTGTAATAGAGTAATACTTTCACATTAATCTTGACATATTCACTTTTTAGGATTCTTTTCCCATGGAAGACTTCTGTTATGTACTAGGGACAGTAGGGTCTAAACCAGCTAAAATGCAAAGAAAAAAGTTGGGTGAATGCTTAGCATTCAATTTTTAAAACTTGGTTTTCAAGCTCTAGAACCAAGAAAGGAGTGTATCCCCAGCTTGCTGTATCCCCGCCAGCAAGGAGTACTGTAATTGTCTTTTGTTAATAACATGTTAGAAAATTGTTTTCCTTTGTTATTGTATAGCTGTTAGTCATTGTACTTTTGTGTGAATTGTTTATGTTCTTCTCCAAGTTTTGCACTGGAATATCTTGGATCACTCCTTATTTTCCGTATTAACATTCTGTATCATTCATACACAGTATTTTCCTAGGGTGAATCTTTTCTTATAATTAGTTTCTGATGTTTTGGACCTATAAGTGTGTGTGTGTGTGTGTGTGTGTGTGTATGTGGTGTGTGTGTGTGTGTGTATGTGGTGTGTGTATGTGTATGTGGTGTGTGTGTGTGTGTTGCTATAGATCAAACCTGGGCCTTATACATGCTAACCAAGCACTCTGCTACCTCCTCAGCTCCAAGTTTAATATTTTTATATAATAAAAGTTTCTTTTCCAATGTTACCTTTCTGCCAATAGGTAGGTGCTGGGGATATAATGATCAAAATAGTGTGGGAGAGACGAGTCACTCACAGGAGACAATCTCTGAGCAGTTGGGGGTTATGGAGAATGTGGTATAACTGCACTCAGAACACTACAGAAATGAAGCAAAGTCAGGGAAAAACCTTACCAATCTTTGCTTTATTTTCAGAGAATTCTCTTGAACTAACCTGATGAATTAAAACAATTTCTGCAAAAGGCTAAATCTGATTACCATGGAACATTATCCATGCTCTAGCAAGGAGGCAAAAAGTCATCAGAAATAAAGAGAATGATTTTTAAACCAAGTGAATAATTTTATTTATTTTTTGGTCATGGGGCCTGAACTCTGGGCCTGTGCGCTGTCCCTCAGCTCTTCAGCTCAAGGCTAGCACTCTTACCACTTGAGCCACAGCACCACTTCTGGCTTTTTCTGCTTATGTGGTGCTGAGGAATTGAACCCAGGGCATGCAAGGCAAGCACTCTATCACTGAGCCACCTTCCCAGATCTTATTTTATTTTTTATGAGAATAATTTTCAAAAGATTTAGAAAAACAATAAACTATACCTTCAGCAAGATTTCATATCAGAATTTAGAGGAGGAGGGCTGTAGATGACGACTTAGACTTGGCTTTTATACAACAAACTACTAGTGTATGTGAACATTAAAAACAATCTTTCTTGTAATCAGAGAAGTGCCAACTGAAACAGAACACCATTTAATCCAATCAGATCAGCAAACAGAATTCTGGGATAGGGACCTTTTTATAGTGACAGTGCGAGTACAAATTAGGATACTTTTTAAAGAATGTAATTTGGCTATATTTATAAAGCATTAAATTTATAATCTCTAACTTATCAATTCTACTTCCTATAAACTTTTATGTGAATAGATATAGTAAAAATATATACATAAGGATTTATGACTTGTTCACTGGCTTGCTCGGCAGGCACCCTACAACTTGAATGACACTTCTAACCTTGTTCTTTGCCAGTTATTTTGAAGATGATGTCTTGTGGATGATGCCTTCTGTACAGGCTAGTTTTGAACCTCTGTGCTCCATATCTGAGTCTCCTAAGTAGCTACTGGTGTCTAAATGCTAAATCCTTTTCCTTCTAGCTTTTACTTTTTTTTTTTTTCCCAGGGCCGAGGACTGAACCCAGGGCCTTGCGCGAGCTGGGTGGGTGCCCTTCTGCTGGGCTAAACCCCCAGCCCCTAAATCCTTTTCCTTCTAAATGCTAAAATATTTATCAAATAGTGCAGTGATGGGTTTTCTTTTAATGTCTCTTGAATTTTCTAGTTTTTCTTTTTTTTCCTTCTGTGCTAGAGATTGAACCAGGGCTTACTGCTGGCCAGTCAAGTTTGACCACTTATGGCATGTTCTTAGCCCAAATTTCTTTCTTTTCTTAAAGGACAAGTGTGTTTTTGCAACCTGTCTTGCTGTATTGGGAGAAATCTTCAAGTGGGAGGTGGTGAGATCCTGGTGGAGGACCAAGAGGCTTTGAGTACTCCAAGAGATAGTTGCACCATCGAAACCTGACCAAATATTGCACTTTGGTCTAAGGCCTGGGAGGTGCTGGGCCTGATGGGCAGCTTTGTGAAAGCAATTATTTCCTATTGTGCTTAAGCAATGATCTGATCAGAAAATCCAACCATGCACCTCTTTTCTCACTCAAAAGCCAGCTACCCATGAAAGCTGTCCTGATTGTGTTTTACCCGTTAGAACTTCTGAGATGCTGCGTACTGGTTCTGTCACCATATGAAATCCTGACTCCCTATCATGGCATGTCCAACATCCTGCTTGGAGATGTGCAAACTTTAGGAAGTTCCTGAGTAACTGAGAAAAGGGGAAATAATTTCCAACCTGAGGTTATGGTTTGTAAGCTGAAGTGTTATGATTTATGTCAACTTAGTTGGGTTATAGTACCAGATATTTGGCCAAATAAATCTGATCATTGTTATGAAAGTTTAAGATTAAACCTTCCATAAGTCAATTTAGTTGAAGTTCTTAAGATGACTTCGGTCCTCCTTCTGCTTTCATAGTTGGGTATAGCACCAGCTCTTGCCTCCAGCCTATAATGTATCCTACATATTGTTGATTTGCCAACCTCCTCAATCACACAGTTCCTTAAAAATCACACCACTTACCTCAACACTATATCCATTTCTCCTATTGGTCTATTCCCCTGGAGATGCTGGCTCATGTGATTCTTTGGGATGAATGAAATAGGAAGAGAGCAATAGGGTCATCCTCATTCTATTAGTATACATACACGAATCATTATTCCCCCAAGAAAATTAGGACTAAATGGTCATGGTTGGATTAAAAGAAGTATTATTTGCATTATTACAATCACTTTTGTTGTTGTTGTTGGTCATGGGGCTTGAACTGTAGGCCTGGATGTTGTCCCTTAACTCTTCAGCTCAAGACTAGCTGAGCCACATGGCCTCTCTGGTTTTCTTTTCTTTTCTTTTTTTTTTTTTTTGGGTCTGGTCGTGGGGTCTGAACTCTGGGCCTGGGCGCTGTCCCTCAACTCTTCAGCTCAAGGCTAGCGCTCTACCACTTGAGCCATAGCGCCACTTCCGAATTTTTTCTTTTTGCTTATGTGGTGCTGAGGAATCGAACCCAGGGCCTCAGGCATGCAAGGCAAGCACTCTACCACTGAGCCACCTTCCCAGCCCGCCTCTCTGGTTTTCTGATGGTTAACTGGAGATAAGAGTCTCACAGACTTTCCTGTGCAGGCTGGCTTTAAACTGTGATCCTCAGACCTCAGATCCTTAGCTAGGATTACAGGTGTAAGCCTGGCACAACCATTTGTTTTTGCAGAAGAAATCTGATGTATTATAGATGCAGTTTACTCAGGTAGTCTAGAACAGAGCTATGACTAGACTAGTTTCTCTAGGCTTCATATTTTTCTTACCATTCAAACATATAGATGGCTAGGTAAGCAGTCTGAGATAAAGGGGATGCAAATTTTCAGTTTTTAAAAAGGCATGGCCTTAGCCGGGTGTGGTGGCTCATACCTGTAATCCTAGCTACTAAGGAGGCTGAGATCTGAGGATCATGGTTCAAAGCCAGCCCAGGGAAGGAAAGTCTGTGAGACTATCTCCAGTTAATACCAGAAAACCGGAAGTGGCGCTGTGGCTTAAGTGATAGATTGCCTTGAGCTGAAGAGCTGAGGGAGAGCATCCAGGCCCAGAGTTCAAGCCTCATGACCGACAAAAAACAAACAAGCAAGCAAACAAACAAAAACATGGCCTTAATTAACCTTTTCAGAAGAGTTGGGAAATCAAGAAAAATGATACTAGAAGAAAAAAAAAAGAGTAAAAAGAGGCGAGAGCTCTTTATTAGCTTAAATGGCTCTGGAAAATTATGACTTTTCCAGAGATTTTTGCCAGAAGTGTCAATTGATTTAAATGTTTTTAAAGGGAGAGACCACAACAGTTTGCTTTCCTATAGAAATGGTCTTTTTAGGTGTTAGCTAACAATATGAAAGTTTAGAAGATCAGAACACTAAAGATTGCTCCTTATGGCCTCATGTGAGCACAGACACAGTTACTTGAGAAATCTGACCCTATATAAGAAGGAACCCAGCTTTTTCCTGATCTGAGGCCAGTTCTGAGGGCAACAGAATCTCCCAGCCAAATTCTATTATATTACACAAAATCCCAGAGATATTTTCAAAAATAATTCTAATTTAATTTCTTCTTATAAAAAGATAAATTGCATTCCAGAAAATATTGTTTGGATTATGAGGTTCCCATCAGTGCTGTTTTGCAATATGTGTTTATAGTTTCTGAAGTGAAGTCAGCAGCATATAACTATAACTATATAACTGGGTTGGGTTTATGCACATGTGGAGGCTATACTTCACTTTGGATCAACAAATGTTTGTTAACATTCCACTACCTATGTGTCAACTACGTTTGGATTTGGTTTTGAACATTTGAATAGGGATAAAAATGAGTTAAAAACAAAACCACAACTAGATTCTAAAAAGCAATGTTCGTAAAGAAAATATGCGGCATCAATATTTTCTTCTGTTAGCAATGAACTCAAATATCTGACATTCTTGAATATTTAAAACTAAAAGTTTCTGGAGAGAAGGTTTTATAGAATCTTTCTGTTTGTAAGACCTAATGTGTTACTAATTATTTCCTTTATTGCCCAATTGTGTTTTGCTATCCAAGATTCACAAAAACAAATATTGCAATATGTTAAAGATACAAAGAGAGAATAAATAACTCCATGAAATATCACCTCTATACAAATAAACTTTGGCATTTGCTATATTTAAATTTTTATTTAATTAAAAAAGATTAAACTACAAAAGGGCAAAGAAAATTAGAGCACAAAGAAGCTAAACACATTTCATCAAACATGTCTTAGAGGAAATTTATGCAAGCACTTAATAATATACATGAATCTATTTGCTGATGAACATACCAAAAGTAAAATTTGCAGAGCTATTAGTAGGAACCTGAAGATGTGTCTTTGAGGCTTTATAATGCAGTTATTACCACCTGTTCCTTAGGTACCAACAGAAAGAACTCATCTGCTTCTCCTTTAAGAGTTCTTCACAAAAACTGTCTTGCTTCATTTTAACTGTGTAGTTTCTCTACTAGATTAAAAGTACCTTTAGGATATGCATGAACGGTTACATATCTTTATGCATATCTTTATCTCCTCCAAAGCAATGAACATCACTGAATATCAATTATTTATGGAAATGAATACAAAACAACAAATAAACAACAAATAAAAATTCTCTTGGTAAAGTCCAAGAAGAAATAGAAAACTTCTCTACAGTTAGTGGTTGCATAGTATTTTCAAAATATATTTATCATAAATTTCCCTAATATAGTCCCTTTTTATGGATAAATTGTTCTTATTCCAATGAAATAGGGTAAGATTTGATGTGACCTGGTTTCCAACTTATTTACATTTTTTTGTCCGTTTGGGTTTAGTATTAGCATACTACATATCCATCCATAGGTTTTCTAAAGACCTTTTGAAACCCATTTAAAGAATTTAACTATAATGTCTTTTTTTGGTTAGCTGTGGGGCATGAACTCAGTTCCTGGGCAACTGTCCCTGAACTCTTTGCTCAAGGCTAGTGTTCTACTAGTCTGGGCCACAGCGCACCTTCCAGTTTTTGAGTTGTTAACTGAAGATAAAAGTCTCTTAGCGACTTTTCTGCCTGGGCTGGCTTTGAACCATGATCCTCAGATCTCAGCCTCCTGACTAGCTAGGATTACAAGTGTAAGCCACCAGGGTCCAGTGTAACCATACTGTCTTTTATGGTGAGATAAATGAGCTAAATTTAAACAAACTAAGGTTAACCACATCAGAACAAAGAGTGAAAGCATTTTAATTAGTTTAGAGATAAAAGGAGAGCTCAAAACTGTCATATTATTTAAATGAGCTCTTGTCATTTTAATATGTGAACTAAGAAACACTCACAGTTTTCTGACCATGTTCAATAACAAGCTAAAGAGTCAATCTCATGAAAAGAAACTTAGGAAGACAAAGCCATTCAGCTAGAAGGTCTAACATAGGATTTTAAAAGTTCTAAATTATTAACTCTTCCAAAAGGACAAAAACAATGATTCATACTCTTATGCTTAGAAAATAATGTTCTTGTCACTTTTTTTTTTTGCTCATGAAATAGGCAAAATCACATCAAATCACCTTAACACATACATTTAAATACATTATTAAAAAGAGGCAATGGAAACATACTTTTAAAGTTCTTAAAAGACAGGGGAGGCAACGAGGAATATAAACAGGGATTAAGCCTAGAACAGCTCTTAAAAGTACCCAGTTTTGAATCCTGTCAGTTAACTGAACAAGACAGAAGCCATTTATAAGTTCCAGAGGTTTAAGAGCACCTTGCACTACCTGTCCCTTATACTCCTAAGACAGGTTGACAAAGAGGTCAAGAATGTAATTCATGGGGTTGGAAGCATAGCTCAGGTGGCAGAGCAGCAGCCAATGAGTGAAAGTGTCAGGTAGTCTTGGATAAAAAAAAAAAAAAATCTAATTCACAATTTTCTACTTAACCTAAGAAAAGTCTCGACTAACAAAAACTTTTTAGACCATCTCCATAATAAACACAACTATGTTCAAAAGATGAACATAAGGTTTGTAGAAATGAAATGGCACAATGTTTGAGACTGACTCTAAAAATACTTCGGTGGAAAAAAAGGACACTGAATAGATACACCATGTCATCATTTTTGTTCATCTACATACTGCTCTGGAATCTGTATTATTATGACACATTTCAAAAAAAAAACAACAGAAATGTTAGCCTAAAGTTAGTTATCAGTAGTCTTGGGCTGAACACAGAGGCTATAGTATAGGGAAGACATTTAGCTTTAGCTTGGGAGAAAAATGAAGTGTTAGTTGCAAGAGTCCAGATTCCTAATCTTCCTTTCAGGTCTAAGTTTTCCTTGAGACATTTAACTCTACCCAGCCAGTTACAGGTGCAAGCACAGGGAGTCTCCAGAAGGTCATACCCTAAAGAGAATGAACCTATCCCTATGGCATAGAAATCACTTTTACCCCCAGAGAATGAGGATATACTGGGCATAGCCTCAACCTCCTTGCCCCTTCTACACTCTCTTTCTCTCTTGCAGGTCCTCAAATGCCCCTCCTATGCCCATTGGGCCTGTCATGACAATCTATGAAATTTTTGGGCATCCAAAAAGCCAAGACATCCCCTGTACTTTGGAGACAATCATTCTCATTCCTATGCTGAACTTGGGTCTGGATTTAGAAAACATACATCACCGGAACTGCATTAGAAATGAAGAGTCAGACAGTAACAAACTCTCCTACATTATTTTGTTAACATTTTCTGATCACGAGGTTAATACTGATACAACTTCTAAACTTTTGTTCTTCAAATATAGTCAGCTAAAAATTCATTTTATTAGCACTGATGCCATGGAAACTTCTTTTTTAAGAATGAGGTATTTGGTTTACTGTCTCAAACAGTAGAAGTTAAGTAAACTGTAAAAATGGTTTAGTAAGTAAATGAAAATGAATGTAGAGAAATAGAAAACAAGCTCTAGCAATATGCTATCATTATACCCTAAGAATCCCTGCTGTAGCCAAAATATATCCCTCTACTTCATACTTATAAAAAAAAAAAACAAAATTCTGCTGGGCGCTGGTGGCTCACGCCTGTAATCCTAGCTACTCAGGAGGCTGAGATCTGAGGATCGCGGTTCAAAGCCAGCCCGGGCAGGAGAGACCGTGAGACTCCTATCTCCAATAAACCACCAGAAAACCGGAAGTGGCGCTGTAGCTCAAGTGGTAGAGCGCTTGCCTTGAGCTGAAGAGCTGAGGGACAGCGCCCAGGCCCAGAGTTCAAGCCCCACAACCGACAAAAAAAAAACAAAACAACAAAATTCAGTAGGACTTCCCCTATATTTCTCCCAGAAAATACAAATAAGAATGAAGAGATGAGAAAGATCAAGAGTCTAATAAGATCATTCTTACTGCCCTTTTTCCAGTCTACAAAGAATATGTATTAATGCACCATTTCCCTTCTTTTCAGATTTTCTTAGAAAAACATTTAGAATTACAGCAACAATAGCATTTACAAGTGAGTTTATGTAGAACTGTTGTTGAGGTTCAAAATACCATGAAAGATCTTGAGAAAACTAATTTTCACATAAAAAACTGAACAATCAGGTTAGCCAAGCCCAAAATGATGATGAACATGTGAAAGATTAGTTTAGGCCATGTCAGACGCTCTTCTTGGTAGAGGGAAATTATATAGATGAGAGAAGGATATATGAATACAAAGGCCAGGCCACATGCTGCTCCTGAATATCTGCAAAATAAAAGCTTTTCAAGTTAATATTCATCTTATATTTTGCTTTTTATAATTTATAATTAAAGTATTATAAAATTTAAATATTACTTAGTTTCATATTGCAACAAAATTATTTTTATTTATTTGTTGCTGATATTTGGGCTTAAAACTCATTTTATTTGTTAATGCAAGATTATTATGTGCTGCCTGTCTTTATAGCATTTGCTTGACAAAGAATTTTTATTCATCCTTCAAATCTCCATAGTTCTTTGTGTTTCAGTGATGGTAGCTGCTCCCCCCAGAAACATTTGGAGATGGGCCTTCTATCTTTGATCTTTAAAAACTAATTACACATTCTGAGTTTATGTGAGAATGTTCATATCTGTTTAATAATGAGAACAGATGAGTGGCTAAGTGGCAGTCAGCATTATTACCAAAGATAGTAACAAAAAATATCTTCCTTTTCCAGTTTTAAGGAAAAGTTTATAGGAATTTCACAAGTCCATTATACTCATAGCTAATAATCTATTCTTGTTTCTTGTTTCTTCTTACTTTCTTGGGTAAGATTTTTTTTTTTATATATAAAGCAACTCTACTTTGCCATGTATATTAAGGGAGAACAAGCAGACCATTCTGAATCGAGTTTCCCATGAGAATCTAGGGTTACAAATTTATTATTAAGGAAACCTCCATCTTGGACCTAAGCTCTTAACTTTCTGACAATTAAAATAGCCTTGGCATATAAAGGACTTTGTGGGTTCTCCCAAGAAGCTATATACTGAAAATAACTATATTTCATATGATGAGAAAAAAGAGAGTGCAAGGTATATCTGAGGCTAAGAATAACAAGGCTTCTGGAGTCAGTTCTCCACTGGAAATAAACAGAAATGGAATTAAAAAGACAACTCAACTGATATCAGGGAACTGCATTTACAGAAGACATTTTTTGGGGGGGGTCCGGTCATGGGTCCTGAACTCTGGGCCTGGGCGCTGTCCTTCAGCTCAGCTCAAGGCTAGCGCTGCTCTACCACTTGAGCCACAGCACCACTTCCGGCTTTTTTCTTTTTTGCTTATGTGGTGCTGAGGAATCGAACCCAGGGCCTCATGCATGCAAGGCAAGCGCTCTACCACTGAGCCATCTTCACAGCCCCAGAAGACATTTTTTGTTTTATGATTTTTGTTTTATGATAACTGAGGTTTGAAAATAGAGAACTAAACCTGAACATTACCAGTTTGAAAAACGTATAGATATTTTATAAAAGTCAATCAACAGTGATAACAAGAGGAAAGGCCTAAAAAATAAAAACCAATATACAAGAAAGCACAATTCTTTATAGGCAGTACCTTATGATCCCTCCTATGTTTGGGTAGAAACAGGCCATGAGCACTCCAGCTCCCACAATAATTATATTAAGAATCAGCACGTGGAAAATGCTAGAGAACAGAGGTTAAAGAAAGAAAAATAAAAACAGGAAAATTATAAACACTAATGGAATGAAATTCATTCATTCTTTTTTTTTTTTGCCAGTCCTTGGGCTTGAACTCAGGGCCTGGGCACTGTTCCTGAACTTCTTTTGCTTAAACCATCACTCTACCACATGAGCCACAGCACCGCTTCTGGCCTTTTCTGTTTATGTCGTACTGAGGAATCAAACCCAGGCTTCATGAATGCTAGGCATACCACTAAGCCAGATTCCTAGACCCTTACTATTCTTTAAAATGAGTGTCTTTAAGCATCCTAATAAAATCACAGAGAAAAGAGACGGCAACATTATACAATGCTGGTCCTGAGACAGTAAAATTTTTTTAAAAATTCAATTATATAAATAGGCTAAATATTGTAGGCACAAACAGTAGTATGATCAGAGTTCATATTCTTTGATCTACAATTCCATTTAGACTATCTTGAGAAAATAACTATGGCCATAAAAAAGCTAATAAATATGTTTATGGAAAAAATAGAAGAATTCTAGATTTAGCAAGGCAACAATTTATAGTAAGAATTGTTAGAAACAATTTATTATTATGTAATGGTTAAATTTACCTAGGTAATCTAGAAAAAAGCTAGTTGGATTTTACTACACAAGAAAATCTAGGCAGGTGTGGTGACTCAGGCCTGTAAGATCAGCTTTTTCAGGAAGTAGAGATGGGGAAGATCACAGTTTGAGGCCAGCCCTGGGCAAAACCTTGAAATTCTACCTGAAAGATAAAGCAAAAAAGGGCTCGAAGTGTGACTCAAGTGATTCAGCACCTGTCTAATAAGTTAGAGACCTTGAGTTCAAATTCTAGTATCACACAAAAAAGAAAAAATCCAAAAGCATTTGAAAAAAAGAATTACACTGAAAAGACAGAAGTGCATGTGCAGGCATTATGATTTGAAATTTAAGGTAATATAATCTCTTTTCTACAATTAATATATTTGTTGTAAAGTGTTTATCATATTTCTAATAGAAAAATAAATATATATTATCAAGGAAAAGGTAAATAGAGGTTTTTATTTTTCAGACTTAACCACTTAAATCCATTCCCTGTTTACCACAAGTAGAATATTTGCTAAACACTTTAACTAGATATTAACAATACAGTTTGAGAATCAATTTTGGAAACAAAGATAAATGTAGACTAACAAATGTAGACTTGATGCTCAGAAAATAATTCTATTTCTCCCAAAAGATGATTCTCAAAAAAAACACAACAAAAACAAATGAATACATTAAAGTAATCTTTTGACCTAAATTATCAGAGGTTAATTAATTCCAGATAAGATTATAGAAAGAATTAACCATATGAAAAATTATTTATAAGTGGTTAGTCAGATATCCTGATAAATTATGAAGATAGTCTTCAAAATCTTCCTATTTATTCAGGAACTCCAAGAGTAAAATTGCCTCAGAATTTTGAGACATTGGCTGGGCTTTTAATATATTCCTGTGTTGGAAAAGGAAACAACTTTTTATTTTCCCAAATAGTAATTTTTAAAGTATGATCATGAAGTCCAGGGGCTTCCCAATACGCTCCTCCCATGAAGACTTTGAGATAAAAAAAAAAATCACTTTTATAATTAGTTGTACAAGATATTATCTGCTTTGCAAAAGCAATGTTGGATAAACAGTTGATCCCTTACCATGGATAGGGCAATTGCACCTATCTTTATTATATATTGTATTCTTTATTGCCAAATGTGACCAAAAGAAAAAAAAACACAAAAAATATTTTAGTAACAACGTTCTTGAAAAGATTGGGGCTAGAAGTCAGTGGCAGAACATTTGCTTAACATGTATAAGATTGGATCTCCAGCATTACTGAAAAAAAAAAGAAGAAAAAGAAAGTCTCTGACAAAGGAGTAAAAATTTTATTAAATCTCATACTTTGAATATTTACTTTTTTAATATCCTATGTGGTTAAGTGTTAAGTATATAATAAAGCATACTGAAGTACAATGGTTGCTTTGGGGAAAAATACTTGTGCAATTGAGGCCAAACTAGCTGTTTTCCCCTGCTTTAAATACTTTAAATACGACCAATGGTCATCCACACTTGGGAGTTTGGCACCCATTTTGTTTTTTCATTTTGTAAGACAGTATCATATTAAGCAGCAGAGGCTGGCCTGGAATGCACAATCCTCCTAATCCTCTTGCCTCTACCTCCCTGGTAGGCAGGTACCATCACACCCAGCAGATGTTTTCTTTTTTTTTTTTTCTTTTTGGTCGGGCCTGGCAGCTGTCCCTCAGATCTTCAGCTGAAGGCTAGCACTGTACCACTTGCGTGTCAGCCCCACTTCTAGCTTTTTCTGCTTATGTGGTGCTGAGGAATCGAACCCAGGGCCTCATGCATGCAAGGCAAGCACTCTACCACTGAGCCACCTTCTCAGCCCCCAGATGTTTTCTTTAAAATAAATGAAGAGTTATCACTTAGGAAAACACCTAGCAGAATTTGTTGGCAATGCTAACATTTAAGATTTCCTATAAAAATTAGAATTTTAAGAACTTACATTTGCTATTCTGAACTTGATATAAACGAAATGTGGATTTTAGTATATGGAAGATCTGCAAAATTTATTAAGCCAATATTGACCAAATGGTGTGTGTGTGTGCCTGGGCCTGAGCACTTCCCTGAGATTTTTGTACTTGAGGCCAGCACTCTATCACTTGGAGCTACAGCTCAACTTCTAGCCTTTTGCTAATTAACGAGATAAGAGTCTCATGAACTTTAATGGTTCATTTTAAATCTCCTTTATCCTCCTCAACCTCCTCAGTAGCTAGAATTACAGATGTGAGTCACTAGCACCTGGCAGAGACCAGTAGTTTTTTTTTTTTTTTTTTTTGTCAGTCATTGGCCTGAACTCTGGGCCTGGGCACTATCCCTCAGCTCTTCAGCTCAAGGCTAGCGCTCTACCACTTGAGCCACATTGCCACTTCTGGGCTTTTTCTGCTTATGTCGTTCTGAGGAATTGAACCCAGGGCCTCATGCATGCAAGGCAAGCACTCTACCACTGAGCCACCTTCCCAGCCCCAAGAGACCAGTAGTTTTTAATATAGCCAAAATTCAGATTATACATTGCGATCCATAGAAACTGTAACTTGTTATGTGTTGGCATGGTATCAACTAGCTGAAAAGGCTATTAAAAGTACTCCTACTTTTTTCAACTATGTGAATATTCGTCATACATTTAAATGTAGTTATAGTATATTAGATAATGCAAAAATGGAGAATCCAATTGTCTAAAAGCACTAAAGTGTTTTAGGATATAAAAGAAAAAAATTTGTATTTTTTAATAAAATATACATGCTAATGATTTTCTTTTGGCTATACTGGGGTTTGAACACAGGGTTTCCCATTTGCTCAGTATGCTTGGTTGGCTAGCATTCCTCAAGCCTTGCTTTTTGCTGGTTATTTTGGAGATGGAGTCTAATGGATTTTTCTGTTTGGACTGTAATCTTCCAGAGCCTACTTAGTAGCTAGGATTACAGGTGTGAGACACTAGCACCTGGCTTTATTATTTATTTAACTTATTTTTTGGAGACAGGGTCTCAGTATGTTATCTAAACTGGCCTTAAACTCAAGTGTCCTGCTTTTTAGCCTTCCAAGTAGCTGGTTACAAGTTGTGCCACTGTGCTTTACCGTACTGATTTTTAAGGAAATTAACAAATACCTAAAATTCCAAGTTGTTATTTTTATTTTTTTGTCAGTCCTGGGCTTGAACTCATGGCCTGTGCACTGTCCCTGAGCTACTTCTGCTCAAGGCTAGCATTCTATCACTTGAGCCATAGTGCCACTTCTGGCCTTTTCTGAATATGTGGTACTTATGGGATGAACCCAGGGCTTCATGCATGCTAGACAAGCACTCTATCATTAAGCCACATTCCCAGCCCTAAGTTTTTATTTTTAATGTTAAATATTGGTAGATATTATCTGCAAAATTTGAATCTTTAGATAAATGTAACTGCTATCAGAGCTAATTAACTATACTGGAAGGAATGAACTTTAAATCATTCTAGACAAGTGACTTCTATTTAAAGTTCTTCTGGGAAAAGGGCACCAGTGAGCTATCCTTAGTAAGGATTTTCATTAGATAAATTTTTATAGCAAAAGGATCAGTCATACTTTAAACTGACCTGTTTGCACAGTCATTTGTTGCTTGGCACATCTTGCTGGTCAAGAGAAGAGTCCTTACCTAGGATAAATGTCACCGAAGACATGGCCCAATAGCTGGACACGAGCCAAGTAGCCTAAGAGTGGGTACACAGTCATCATCTGGAACAACAGGAATATCCTTCCAATGAAGGACAGGATGTCACTGCTAGGGAAGTTGTCTAAAAAGTTCTAATCCAAAAAGAATGAGGTAATGTTAAATTCAATTTAGTACATACAAATTCAAAACTTATTTTAAACACAGGTGCTATGCAAATTGTGTTTTGAGAAATGATGCTCATCTACTATGTACAGCTTTTTTTTCTATGAAGAACAGAAATGGAAACTAAATGCTTAAAAACTTGTATGGAAATCTGATATTGGCATATTTTAATTATCTTTTATAATAGTTTCAATTTGCAACTGATTCGACATTAAAAGAACAACAACAAAGAAAATCTTGTCCTTTACTGCTCTATATAAGGTTCAAGCCCAATACCCAAAACTGGTCTTGTTTCTCCTCAACCCCTTCATTCAGTGCAGAGGACTGAATACAGGGCATTTTGCATGCTAGGCAAATACTTTACTATTGCACTATTTCATAGCACTTTTTCTGTTTGTTTGTCTTGGGTCCAGTCGTGGGGCCTGAACTCTGGGCCTGGGCGCTGTCCCTCAGCTCTTCAGCTCAAGGCTAGCGCTCTACCACTTGAGCCACAGCAACACTTCTGGCTTTTTTTCTTTTTGCTTATGTGGTGCTGAGGAATCGAACCCAGGGCCTCAGGCATGCAAGGCAAGCGCTCTACCACTGAGCCAGCTTCCCAACCCCTTTGTTTTTTTGAGAGGTCTCATTACATAACTCAGATTGTCCTCAAACCTGAGGACTGTCTCAGCCTCTGGAGTGCGGCACCATGCTTGACTTCCAAATCTGCTTTTATTATGTGTGCCTGAACTCAGTGCTTTGCGCTTCACTAAGAGCTTTTTTGTTCATGGCTGGTGCTCAACTGTTGCTGTGTGGCATTTTTGTTGATTAGTTGTAAACAGAGTTTCCTGGACTTTTTAGTCTGGGCTGGCGTCAAAGATTGATCCAGAGGTCTCAGCCTTTGGATTATGAATGTGAGTCACTGGCACCCTGGTGGCTCCACATCTGCTTTTAGTATATTTAATAGTAATTAAATTCAATGTTATATCTTCACTAGCTTTCTTGCTTTTATTCTCCTGAAGCACTGAAGCATTTCAAAGTAAAAATTACAGAATAAAGTAAGTATATCAATTGCCTAATATCATGTTTATATATAGTCTATTACCAAGTAGATTTATTTCTACATTCTTGTTTTTGGTGTTGTTTTTTGACACACAATCTTGACATGTAGCCTAGGCTGAACTAGTTAAGAAGCCCAACCTGGCATCAAATTCACAATTCTCTTGCTTCCAAGTGCTAAGATTGTAGGTATATGCCATCATACTCGGCTTCTACATTTTTCATAATCATCACATTAGTTTGATATCTAAAAAAAGTTAATGGCCCAAAAATATTTTCCTTCCAAATACAAATACCACAAATATTCCAATTCCCAAAGGAGTAGGCTTTTTGTGGGATTGTTCATATTAGGGAAATTTTCAGAAGACTTGGCTGCCAGAATAATATTGGAATCAAGGAAATCAAGAGAACAAGAACATTTTGAGCTTTCGTAACTGCAGTAACCTCTTCAGTAACCTCTTTTATTTTGAGATGAAAACACTATTAACAATCTGCTGAAGTAAGCCTGTAATTCACTAAATCACACTTTATATTGTACTACAGTTATCTGTGAAATACTTTTTGGGGGGAGGTAGTATAGGTCCTGAGGCTTGAATTTAGGGCCTGGGCATTGCCCCTAAGCTTCTTTTGGTCAAGACTAGTGCTCTACTACTTGAGTCACAGCTTCACTTCCAGCTTTTTGGTAAGTCTCATGGACTTTCCTGCCTGCGCTGGCTTTGAACCATGACCCTCAGATATCAGCCTCCTAAGTAGCTAGGATTACACATGTGAACCACTGGTGCCTGGCTAAAACACTATTTTTTGATTACTCATAAATTATTCATTCTCATTAAACTAAGACTACAGTACTCCTAAGTTTTTGGTGGACTAAATCAAATAAAATTTTACTTATGGGGGGCTGGGAGGTGGCTCAGTGGTAGAGCACTTGCCTTGCATGCATGAGGCCCTGGGTTCGATTCCTCAGCACCACATAAGCAAAAAGAAAAAAGCTGGAAGTGGCATTGTGGGTCAAGTGGTAGAGCGCTAGCCTTGAGCTGAACAGCTGAGGAACAGCGCCCAGGCCCAAAGTTCAGGCCCCAAGACCAACCCCCCTACCCTCCCAAAAAACTTTTTACTTATGGTAACTCTTAAGATTTTTTTTCTTTCTCTTTTTAACAAATTATCTTCATTTTTCTGTCTGCTACTCAGTATCAAAGTGGAATCAGATCTATCCTTAAAGACTGATGAGTCAAGATGAGTTTATTCAGGGCACTTCCAGATTTGTCATATGAAGACTGAGTAATATGTACATTCTCTGTGGAGGATTTATAAATCCATGAAAACTCTTAATAACAGTTCTCTACATAAAGAAAAATATATGTCTAATAGTTGTTGATTTGAGGGCTGGGAAGGTGGCTCAGTAGTAGAGTGCTTGCCTTGCATTCATTAGACACTGGGTTTGATTCCTCAGCACCACATAAGCAAAAGAAAAAAGCTGGAAGTAGTGCTGTGGCTCAAGTGGTAGAGCACTAGCCTTGAGTTGAAGAGCTGAGGGACAGCGCCCAGGCCCAGAGTTCAGGACCCACGACCGGACCCCCCCCCCCCCAAAAAAAAATAGTTGTTGATTTGAGCACAGCACAGTGCTTGAAGGTAATATATTATTTCAGAATCTGTAAGTGTAATACATTATTTCAGAATCCATAAACATCAAACAGAATACGTGTTATACTAGTTAATGGAAAAGGAGACCCAGAAAGGACAGGAAAAGTGCCAGATCTCCACATTACAAGCAGATGGTAGAGATGGTGTTCAAACACTGACCTCTATGATTTATATCTTGTCACTGTGTCATCCTGCTTACTATTCATCTAGGAAGTATAAGCAATCAGAGAGGTGCACAGTATCTTACCTGCTCAATACAATCTTTGGATAATGGAGGTGAAGGAAAAGAAGCAAAAACCAGGAATCCTATATACAGATAGGTTATTGTTACCAGCATATAAGCAATACACAGGTCCCTCACCTGTAAATATAGAACAAAATTCCCTGTCAATGTGACAAATATGAACTTATTTCTTTTACCTGGTATGTATGCTCTACGTTTTTTTCCAAATTCTTTATTGTGATTAAGTGCTTACATAATTCACAAATTTCACAGTATTGTGGGATAGTGATGCTTAGTTAAAGTCACAAACACATTCTAACTTTCATGGGGCAAATTGTCTATCGTGGTCTATAACATTTATGAGTTCTATGAGCTTTGACAATACAGTTATTTCTGCCTCACTGGGTGATATGTACATTTCTTTTGTTTTGTATAGCATCAGCTGTTCCCTCTTTCCCACTCGTTCCCTCCCTCCCATCACTGCCGTTGAGTTGCTTAGTTCATTTTGATCAATATCCAGTGCAGTTGATGGGTCCCACTGTTGTTTTTCTCTGATTTCTCCTGTGTGCTATACTTTTAACCTAATCTTCATAGAAACTTAAACTTCAAAATTAAAATCTACATAACTTATAATTAATCTGCCAGGGTTTTTTTTTTTAAAGCTACTTAGAGCATGCAGACTAAACTACTTTTTGACAAACTTAGGAAGTTAACACAAACTGTGGTTTAACAATATTGAAATTCTGGCTTTATTTCAAAAGGCAATTTATCTACCAAATTATAAAATATCTAACTATGATAATTAAACTAAAGGACAAAAAAGCTATAAGCCACCATCAGTGTGACTTGCACAAATTAAAAAATTCTTTTGTGAATAAGCTTGTACCATCAAAGCATGCCTAAACCTACTAAAATATTTAACAAAGAACAAAAAACTAATTGAAGAATAAGTATTAAAGATCAGTTTAATAAACCTAAACAGTAAACAAAGGAAACGAAAAGGCAGCTGTTCAAATAGCTGCACAATGTTATTACTGGAATCAGTAAACAAATACTGCCCATTAAACGAAGTGGATTGTTTTCTTCAACTGCTGTTCCCACCCTCCCGCCCTCACACAAAATAAAAAGCTCCAAGATATTTAATGCAGCCAGCTGTCGGATCCTAACAGAAGAGATTCCACAGCTTGCAATTTTCTTCCACCACATCTGAGGTTATAGCCAAACAATTCAGCACAACTAAACTGTGCCAATAAGTCGAAATCTTAGTGTTTTTCACTTAAAACACAAATTACTATGGACAAAAAGCTAACAAAGCAAATTAAGACATCAATCTTTTATAACACAATAAGAATTACTATGTATTTGGAATTGGGGAACATTCTGATTTTTCTAATTTTTTTTTTTTTTTGGTCAGTTGTGGGGCTTGAACTCTGGGCCTAGGCTCTTCAGCTCAAGGCTAGCGCTCTACCACTTGAGCCACCAAGCTACTTCTGGTTTTCTGAGTGGTTTATTGGAAATTCTGAGTCTCACAGACTTTCCTGTCCAGGACGGCTTTGAACCATGATTCTTAGATCACAGCCTTCTGAGTAGCTAGGATTACAGGCTTGAGCCACCAAGAGCTTGGCTCTGGTTAAATCTTTTTTTTTTTTGTCCGTTGTGGGGCTTGAACTCTGGGCCTGGGTGCTGTCCCTCAGCTCTTCAGCTCAAGGCGAGTGTTCTACCACTTGAGCCACAGTGCCACTTCCCGTTTTTCTAGTGGTTTACTGAAGATAGGAGTCTCATGGTCTTTCCTGCCTGGGCTGGCCTTGAACCTTGATCCTCAGATCTCAGCCTCCTGAGTAGCTAGGATTACAGGTATGAGCCACCGGCGCCCGGCTCTGGTTAATTCTTTAAATGCACCAAAACAATAACAGTACTTTATAAATTTGAATTTTCATAAATCCAATTAAAAAGCAAGTCACAACAAGCTATGAAAAATCTTAAGGTCTTTTCTAAATTGACAACTTGAAAACAAAACCTAAATTATATGGTGGCTACGCCTATAGTTTTAAAGATACACTGATTTAAAGTCATATTGATTCTAGCTCTCCAGACTTTGGAAAATCTTACTGCTTGGGGTTGAGGGATGGAAAGATGACCAAACCTCCAGGGATGGGTTTCAAAATCTTTTTAGTTCATGAAGCTCTACTGCCTATGGCAGCCTAGAATTCAGTCATTCAAGCTTTTGTGTGGGATGAAGAGAAATGAACCAGTCAACACTTATCTTCATACAAAAGGGTAGTAGTCTCCAATTATGATGTTTCAAAGTCATTTAACCCTCAATATAAAAGCCACTCAGAAGCAGAGATAGCCTTGTTAAAAAAAATACTGAGAGGCAAAACAGATGTGCCAAAAGGAAAGCTACATATAAAGAGGGACAGTCACCATTTCACAGGTAGTTAACTTATATATGCTACCTGATCACATATGTTGGTTTGATTTCCCATGGAAAAAAAGGTGTACCTTAATATACACTTTGGAAGAAAATGAAGATTCTGTTAATAATACTGTATACTAATTCTGTTATAATACTGTTCTTACACAGATCTCAAATATAGCAACTATTAAGCTACGTCATAATTGTCAGTTTTTTTTACTATAAGAATAAATCATGTTCATGACATAAAAGTTCACAAATAGAGAGGAAATGTCCCTTGATATTTAAATAAGAGCCAAATTTAATCATTCCAGTATCTTATAGGTATTTTTCTTTAAATTGGTCCACACCACTATTACAAGATCTGCTTCTTGGAACTGGTTCTTTTTTCATTTAATATTTCCAACACCTAGAACAACCCCTTGCACACTTCTCAAGGAAGATTTTAAAAAAATATAAAGAACATTACCTTCAACAGGCTATGTTCTAAGCTACCTCATTTAATCCTCATAATGATGTAGGTACAGTCAATTTCTTCATTTTAAAGATGAGCAGAGTTTAAGTGTAGCAAAGTTACAAAACCTGTTCACAGTTACAAGGTAAGTGGCTGCTGAATTCAATATCCAATCAAAGTCTATCTGGTTCTAAATTACATGCCCTTAGCTACTGTAATAGAGAGTTTTCCAGTCTGCAATGTACTTATATCATAGTTAATAAACAACAATAAACAAAAATGAAAACAAGTGTATTACAGCACAGTAAGAGATGCCAAGAGAAATACTAAAACCAGAACAAGCACAAGCTCTATTTCATAGTATTCTAACATACACTCAGTAGAACTGGATTAGGAATTGAACATCTGTTTCCATCTGAAAATATTCTAATGAACAGAAACGATGTTTTATTAGAAAAGCAGCTAAGGTTGAGAGTCATCTGGGAAACACATTACCTACGAATACATGAGACTTGCTGTTTTTGACCTTGAACCCAAGCTACATTGTAGTAGGTTTTAAAATATGGCTTCTTAGGTGAGGTGAGTGGCTCACACTTGTAATTCTGGCTACTCAAGAGTGGGACATTGGGATCACTGTGTGAAGCTATGTCAGGCAAAAAGTTAATAAGACCACTATCTCAATTAATAAGCTAGAAGCATTGGTGCATGGTTATGATGCATTTAACCTACATGGGAGGTAGAAATAGAAGGATCATGGTTTCAAGTTGGCCGAGGAAAAAAGCAAGACCCTATCTGAAAAACACACTAAAGGAAGAAGGGCTGAAGGTACAACCTAAGTTCAAGCCCCTGATAGCAAACCCCAGTACTTCCAAAGGAAGGAAAAAGATATGGCTTCTTAAAATCTTATTTTTTTTAAAAAAAGGACAAAGCTGTATTTTAGAAATGAGGCCCAAAATAAAAATTATATTCAAAGAGATACAAAAGTGACAATATAAGCTGGGAATATGTCAGAAAGCATATATTACAGGTAACTCCTCTGCTTCGGACTAGGTTTACAAAAAGGTCAAAAGTAAGTATGGGAACACATTCTGTTTGTCAAACATAGTTTACTACTTGTTCCATGTGCCACTCATAGTGGAAATAGTACCCAATGGAGCATTTACTAAGAAATATGACAAAAAACAACTACACATACCTACCTTAAACATATATATAAAACTTGTGCTGGTGAATGACCAAGTAAACTTACAGACTCACATGGAGCAGAGAAATATGAACATATTAAGATATAAAGCATCTCAAATTTGTTTTAAAGAACAAGGCAGAGAAGCACAACCAAATAAAGAGAGACTGAAACAGAAAAAAGTATATAGGTTCTGATTCAAATATAATAAACATCAAAAGGTTAATTCATATATACATAGTTATAAGGATTACATACTTTGGTGATAAGGAGTTTATGTTCAACCTACTAATTATTTTTGGTAAGCTAAGCCTTACTGAGGAATACAAATAATACCATGCTAAGCAACAGATATGAGTCAGCTGGGTGCTGGTGGCTTACACCTGTAATCCTAACTATTCAGGTGCCTGAGATATGAAGCACCAGGCAGGAAAGCCTGTGAGACTCTTATCTCCAATTAACCACCAGAAAATAGAGAGGAAGGGGGGCTGTGGCTCAAAGAGGTTCAGTGTTAGCCTTGATCAAAAGAGCTCAGGGACAGGGCCCAGGCCTGCATTCAACCCCCACCCCTACCCCTCCTTTTCCCCCTTCCCTTCACCCCACCTCCACCCTAAGGAAAAAAAAAATTAAGAATCAGGTGTGGTGATTAATGTCTGTAATTCTAACTAGTTGAAGGGAGAGTTCAAGAGGATTTGGTTCAAGGCCAACCTGGGCAACAAGCGAGAACCCCATCTCAGCCAATAGTTCGGCACAATGGTGTCAGCCTAGTACATCTTACACTGATTGCAAGGATTGTGGTCCTGACTGACATGTAAAAAGAGAGATTCTATGTAAAAAAAATAACCAAAACTATGTGGACAAGGCCAAAAGGGAACTCTGTTACTCTGTTGGTGGGAATGTAAACTTGTTCAACTGCTCTGGAAAGCAGTATGGTGGTTCCTCAAAAGACTAAACATAGAGCTATCCTATGATCCCGAAATTCCACTCCTGAGCATTTGTCCAATAGACCACAAACAAGACCACAGTAGAGCTACCAGCATAACCATTTTCACTGCAGAATTGTTTGCCATAGCTAAGATATGGAA